ATTTAGCTATCAAGCTCCTCTCCTATGGAACCAACTCCCAGTCTCAGTTTGGGAGGTGGACACCCTCTCTACCTTTAAGAGTAGACTTAAGACTTTCATTTTTGATAAAGTTGATAGTTAGGGCTGGATCAGGTGACCCTGAGCCTTCCATTAGTTATGCTGCTATAGGCCTAGTCTGCTGGGGGGCCTCATGATGCTCTGAGCTCCTTTCCTCTCTCCCCATGCATCTATTTGCCACTACTACATGTCATTAACTGTGTCTCCTCTCTCCCTATACCTTTTTGTAGGTAGCCCTGGCTCTGGAGCTCTATGTTTCTGATGAGCAGTCACCGGCCACATCAACCTGCCCAGTGTTTGATTGTTTGTTGTTGTGTTTGTTGTGTCTTGTTCCTTTTCTATTTTTTTCTCTCTCCTCTATCCACTCACCCCAACTGGTTGAGGCAGAAGGCCACCCAGCAAGAGCCAGTGTCTGTCTGAGGTTTTTTTCCATTAAAGGGAGTTTTTCTTCCCCACTGTCGCCAAGTGCTGCTCAAGGGGGACTTGTTTGGACTTTAATTTGTAAAGTGTCCTGAGTAGACCTTCGTTGTGATTTGGCAATATACAAATAAAATTGGTTTTAATTGAATTCATGGTACATACCCTGGGTAATGTGTTTATAATGGTGCCTATAATAATAATAATCATCATCATCACTATCATCATCAAACATGTTAGCACTACCAAACATTTAAACTGCCGTTCTAGCCAGCAAACATATAAATAACTCACCAAACATTTCAAATAGCTCACCAGATAACTAGCCAGAATTCTGCATCAAAATACACCATATGTTAGTCTTCAATCCAACAACCAAATGTCTACTATGCCCTTGTTAGCTTGCTCATGCTAACACTAGGAAGTAGGCCTCAAGCCTGCTGCATGTATCAAACACTTTTATTAAGCCTGTCCTCTTATACTAGTTTACTTCAGCTTAACAGGTATAATTCTCACATGTGGTGCCATTTATAAAACACATACCTATTTTTACTCCATTCACACACCTTTCTTCTGCTCCAGAGCCAGTCAATGGGCTTTGCCCCGCTATCAGCTAGATTCTTAATTATCTGCCTTAGGCCCTGCCATTTTATACCCAACTCACCTAGCAGAGAGGCAGCTGGCTTGGCTACAAATCCCCTACAACCAACCTCCATGGGGAGTACTTAAACTTTCCAGCCACGTGCCAAAAGCCAATTCTGCCTCCAAAGTCAATTCTGTGTATTTCAGCTTCTTCCTTTCATAAGCTGTATCGACAGCATCCTCCCAGGGAACTGTAAGTTTGACAAAATACACTGTCCACTGTGCTTCTGACCACAGTACAAGGTCTGGTCTGAGGTTCTTGCTTCATTTTCTGGGCCTCTGCCTCCTCTACAAGTGTCTCTATGTTGGTGTCTGAGTAGTTGCATTTCTTTGCTTGTTTCTCACCTGTTGCCATGATTCACCATAATGACAGAACAATTGCATGCCAGGCTCATTATTATGCAGATCAGCATTCATGAATTACTTTACAGTTACTATTTATGGATAAAATGGGTGTGTACAAAGCAGGATATGAGGCTGATTCACGTGCACAATTCTAGATGATCTGTGATTTATAAGGAAACTTGCTTACAGTTATAAAATACACTGTTTTATAAGCCTGAATATTTTTTGGCCTTTGGGCACATGTACACTTTTAGTGAGGATCCTTACGCACAGTTTATAAATGAGACCCCTGGTCTTAGGTTAATGCTGACTATCTCCTCAGGAACTATGAGCTGATTCTGCAAATCTTCTCTTGCCTTTAGCTGTCCTGCATCTTGCCTGTTCAAAATTACTTGTTTGCTGCCTTTTTCACCCTCACAAACAAAATCCCCTCTTGTTTCTTCTTCTCCAGTGAGTTTACCTCTAAGTGCTTACTTTTAGTAGCTGCTGCTAAACATTTCAACATCTGAATGTTCAGTCTTTAATGATGATAATGATAATCACTTTTATTGGCCAAGTATGTTACACACACAAGGAATGTGTCTTTGGTACAGAACTGAGGCAGCCATCTGCAGCACCAGCTCACATACACACACCGATGGTGGTGCTGACCCCGCAAGGTGTTGACTTGACCTTTTTGTTGAAGAGAGGTTCAGTCTGTGGTATTGGACGCTATGGAATTGCACTGCCTGATACAAAGACCTGTTTTTGTTCACACCATTTCTTTTCTGTCATTTTGCTACATATTGTTTTTAGGTTTTGGCAAAGTGATTGTTTGTGGCCTCATTACCAGGATAAGCGTTTTTGTTAAGGCAAGGGGAAAAGAGAATAGATGTGGATTATAACAGTTACATTGATACTTAAGGGCCTCACAAAATGTTTATTGAGCTTGTCACCTGTCTTTGGAGCATGCACTGTTACTTGATGGCCATGACACAGACCTGTGATGTTTGTGTGTCAGGCCTTCCTTTGCTGACTGTGTTCTGCTCTACTTTGTCTCAATCCATCTTGCAGCCATTTGTGCTGACGGCAGCTACTACAAGTTCCTGTTCAACCAGAAAGGGGAGTGTTCCAGAGATGTCTACGCCCAGTTCCTGGAGATGACTGATGGAAAAATATGACCTTTGACTGCTCAGCAAACTTGTATTATGCAGCCTTTTCTCTTTTGTTTTTTCATCCCTGGTTGCACTTGTCCTTATCTTGACAGACTTTAAAAGAGCATCAAATGAAGGGAGGAACACAGACTTTGGGGAATCCTTGCAACAAAAATGGACAATGGGAAGCACCATCAGAGATGCACACTTTTTTGTCTCTGGATAGAGGGACACAGACACTGACTTCACTCTCAAACCAAACACAAGAGAAAAGAGGGACAGTTATATTTTTTGAAATGATGACATGCCGGTTTTTAAGATGTCTTTCGAGGAATTTACAAAGGATCACTATTTTTAATCTCATAGATGATTCTGCTCATTAGATGGATTAAAAATAGAGGTTTTTGTCAACTAACACCACCTAACTCTAGGGCGTGCCTCAGACTGGAGAGAAGTTGGATGTGGGCACATATTATTGTTGTCATATATACATGTTGGTGTATATACCAGTGTACCATAGTAGGTGTTTGCAAAGCAGGTTTAAAATGAGGTAACTTTTCACTTCTGCCTTCAAGGTTCATAGTAACATCTGGAAGATTAGAACAAACCTTGATCCTGTGCTGTTGGAACATAAACTTACGATTACTAGATTTTTTTTTTGATTTTTTTTTTTATATATATTCATTCACTTTATCAACACAATGCACCAGACTGAACTACATAGTATTGTACAAAAGAGTAGCAAAAAGAAAAGAGATGAACATGTATTTTGGTTTCATTCTTTCCCCCATACATTGTGCAATATGTGTTCTCTCTAATTGTTAGAAGGTTGTGAAAGCTGGGTTTGCTGTTTCTACCTACACAAGCAAGCATGTCAATCTTTTCATCAAACTCTCACTAAGAAAGTGACCAAGTTAATTTCTTAAAATGTTAACTATTTCTTTAAGAGTGTGTGAATGTTGTTTGTTGCTGCTGCCTGAACAGGGTGTAAGAGCCAAACATGCACAGATTTCATCTTAAATCACAAAACACAATTTGGGATGAGATTGTTTGATAACTTCTACTCAACAGCTCATCAACTGTACAAATATGAAGAATATTTTGAACTCTGTTCAAGACTGCATTTCACTTAACACACTAATATCTCAAGTTGGTTAAATAAGAAACCTCTGATTAATGGTTTGCTTTATGTACTTTTTGTTGGCCAGCATTACTCCAGTCACAGCTGTTGAATATCTTTTTAAGACACAGCACTCAAAAAAAAAAGGTAGGGTTGGCAATCCTGGAAAAACCAGCAAGAGGAAACTCAATTTTGAAAGTAGGCAACTGAAGAAATCTCGCCATTTCATTCTGATTTCTTTCCCAAGCAACTCCAAAACTGTGCACTGCAACACACACTGTGCGACTACTACTTACAGATTTCAGGAAAATTACAAATGCCCCCAAACAAAAAACCTGTCCACTGGAAATACGGTTAATATGGCATCACTCTTCAGCCCCTTTTGTTCTATCAGTTGTCGCTATCCTTCAAAAGCCACATCCGTGTTAATTCTGGTTTTACTTCTTGTAGCATCAAACTTCTTTTTAGTTGTAACTTTCTCAAATATAGTTTTATCTGCTCAGATAGCTGCTTTAGCCCTGGCTTATAGCCGGTATTAGCCTTAGAAGTCCAGGCTTTTCCAGCAGTGAGAAGTGAAGAGGGAGGCCAGCTAATGCCGTTCAGAACATGAGCTTTATTCCATCTTGATAACATGAACACTGCAAGTGGCTTTTGATGCCAGGTTAACTATATGTAAAAGGAGTCTGTTCTGTGCAGTGGTCTTCTTGCTCTCATACAGACATACAGGTGGCAACAACATTACCCATAAGGCTATATGTCTGTAAGAGGAAGGCCTGGCCTGTAACAACAGTCTCCATTTGCAAACAGAAGCTGCTGCGGGTACCTTCTCTAGTTCGCTAGTTTTAGCTATCAAAATAGAGCGGTAAGACATTTGCCTGCAACTGCAACGCCTTGTGGGAGATTCTTGACTTGTGCATTGGGTACACCGGCAGGCTACACACAATGTGTAGGGAGTTTGGTTGACAGCCAAGTAGGCCATTTAGTGGTTTTGTTTGAGGCAAGTAAAATTCAGGGGCTTTTTTTAGCTCTGCTGCTGCCACAGATGATGGATTTTTTTTTTGTGCTGTCAGTGCATTTAATGGAGATAATGAAATTATCAGAAGTTTGGGGGTGGGTCCTGAGCCGAAATTACACCCCTTCCATTTCTGCAGTATTTAAACTACCAAAAACTACCCTCTCCCGCTTCCATTTTTCATTACACCCCTCCCACCCTTATAAAATAACTACTTTTCCTATATTCTCTATCCTGGCTGGTCTGCCAGTGCCCGAGCACAGCGGAGATCTTCGTAATTGTTCCCCAAAACCTTAAGCACACAAGCACTTCAAGTTCATAAGCATCTCACAATTCTATATTTCCCACATTTTCAGTGTCCCAGCCAGTGAAATGTATTCATTGCCATCGGGATGTAAAGAGAATTTCAAGATATGTAACAAAAAATGCTTCTGAAAATAATCACCAAGCCTATCTTTAAGTAGTGTTTGTCCTTTGCTAATATATCTCTGCACACTACTTTGTCCTGCCCCAGCAGCATTGATAAATTTAGCTAATGCACATCAGGGAATCTAAAGTGCTTAGTTGAACCCTATGGCCATAAACAGGAGAACTGTTCAGCGTAGGTCCACCACAATAGAATGTGTATAAACAAAGCTGCATTACTAATTTGTTTTTTGTCATGTTACTTGATAGCATTTTTATTGATTGAGTGCAAAAACATTTCCCCTGCATTGGTTTCTACACGTGCTGGGGGTCACTGAACACACACAGCACTCGGTGGTCACTGGGACGCTGCAAAACTGAAATGCCAGCTTGTTTCCAAAACACTCAATGATTGTAAAATCTGCATTTAAATATGCAAATAAAATTTAACATCTGCTTTTACATTTCAACTTTATGGGCTCTGTCGTGCCTTTTACATTGTATTATATCTGTGATTAATTGGTTTGTCAATTTGTCAGTTGCTGAAGGGCCCATAAACATTTTATAGGACCTTAAAGAAGTTAGCTTAGTTTCTAAGCAACACTTAAGACTTCACCTAGTAACCTGGCTGTAACTCCCAGCAGGACAACTGCTCTAACCACTTTCACCCCCACACTACTAGTTTCACCCCCAAATGAATTCCAAAATCTCCAGCCGAACCATAGAATAAGCTCTGATTATTTACAGTGGATGCGCAGAAGAGTCTGTAATCTGTACGTCGCCCAGTCTCGGAATATGTATGTATGTGTGTATGTGTGTGTGTGTGTGTGTGTGTGTGTGTGTGTGTGTGTGTGTATATATATATATAACTCAATTTATGCCACCATAGATAATAATATCAAATTGGCAGAACATATTTACTTAACCATGTAATGTGTCCAGCTGCTCTAGACTTGAAAAGGCATTGGGCACACTGGCCCCACGTGTATCCCATGATGTGATTGTGAGTTGAAGTATCGCCCTGCAACCAGAACGAAGCAAACTAGGAGAGCAAACCAGCAACTAGGTAAGCAGGGGATGGTCACACCATCATTATGTGAGTTGTAACTTAATTTGTGCAGTGGGTGGGGGTGCAGAGCAGTTGCCAGTAATTAGTTTAATGTCCATGTCTTCACACCTCAAGCATTAGCATTAGCATTACAAGCACCCTGTCTATACACACAGCCGACTGTGATGGTTAACAGAAATATTTATTCAAGTACTGCACAATTTTGAGGTATCTGTACTTTTTCATTTTCTGCTACTTTATACTTTGACTTTGCTACATTTTACAGAAAAATATTGTACTTTTTACTCACGACATTTATTTGATAACTTTAGTTACTAGTTACTTTTCAGACTGAGATTAAACAAAATACACAGTAATAAGACTTTATTGATCCCCGGTAGGAAATTCACAAGCTACCCAGCAGTATGAAAAGTACTTCAAAGTATAAACATATAACCAGATAGTTAACATTAGCTCTATCAGCTGTAACATTGATCATGATGTACACAATAACACACCAATAATTTATTAGTCTAATAATGATATACATTAATGTGAACTGTCATTTTGCATGAGTACTTTTAATACTTAAAGTATATTTTATGCTAATACTTTTGTACCTAACTATTTGAACACAGGACTTTTACTTGTAACAGTATTTTTACACAGTGGTATTGCCACTTTTACTTAAGTAAACAATTTGAGTACTTCTTCCTCCACTGCTGGTTAAGGGAAGTACAGAGTATACCACTCATTCGGTTCTGATAGTGGAAACACCATATTTGTATCAGCATATCAACAGTGAGCATATCAATTGTGAGCATGGTAACTACCATGCTGACTAACATTTATAAAGCACCACGGAGGGTAAACTCCAATTCCCTTATTTGTTCATCGATTCTCCTTGATACTAGCTCTGCCTAGAAGGCATTTTGGTCTGCCATTCTAATCACTTCTAGGGTTGGACCCCACCAATGTCTGTACCAAGTATGCTGATGATCCATCCAGTCATTTGTCCAGAATCCTGCTAACCACCAAAAACACACACACCAAACAAAAACAAAAAAATCTCCCTGGCAGAGGTAATAAAGCGGTGTGTCGGTCCATATAAGAACTGTGCAAAGAATGGTCCTCACTTTACCTGAACCACTTCCAGGTTGAGCAAGAATCAAGGATGTTGCAAGACTCCTAAAGGAATGTATGAGACTTTGGATGAACCCTCACTGTGTAGATCAGAGTGCAATGTATTGATTGCCCATATGGAAATGTTCGCTGTAGTCCCCCCCCCCCCTTGTATGATTTATCACATATTGCTGACCAACAGCTGGCAATTCACCCCACCTTCAAAGTGTCCAATTTGATCAGCTTATTAACATTTTTGCCTTTGGACATGATAGGATACCTATTCATACAGACTGAGTTGTTGGAAGCATAAAGAATACTTTAGCCCTTACTTAGGCCCTTACTTTCCTGTTCAGCTCCACTACTGAAATGAGAGAGTCAAGCTCTTTTTGTACCTTAAGAAAGCTGATAGTTTACAAGGGAAGCAGCTCCATCCTGGTGGTACACAGGCTTCCTGGAACAGGAAACAGAGAACTACACAGCAGCTGAAGCACATTTCCAGATGATTATCTCATCAGCCACATTATTCTTCACAGCACCAGTTAGGAAACATATTTTCATAACTTCTTTTCTCTGAAAGAAATAATTCTTCATACACAAATGGATTTTGAGCTTGTGTTTGGCCAGCAAAAAGGGTTTTTACTCAAAGAAATACAAACTAAGAGATACTGTTTTAAATAAATTTATAAAAAAAAAAAGCACTGAAGCATATACACCTATCACTTGTTTTTCCTCATGTAACAGAAAATCTGAATAGATGTTTTAGTAGTCTGAAAAGAATAAAATCAGAGAGCTTGCCAAATTCAATGCAAAACAGACAACCAATGATGATGGAAAGTACAGAACAAATAAACATATAAAAAGTAAAAGAAAAGAACTCTGAGGGTTAAGTGCAGCAATCATCTAATGTAGACAAACGTACAAAAAGTAAAAGAAAAGAGAACTATGAGGGTTAAGTGCAGCAATCATATAACGTAGATTCAGTCTAAATTTTCTTCAGTTCCATATTCAAATAAATCAGCTCAAGTACATTGTCTCTAGAATGGTAACATGCAAGCTTGATGAAGCATATGACCAAATACGCATAGGAATATACTTTTTATGTCATAGGATATTTGTAAAATATGAAAACTCTGATATAGTGAAAGAAATTTCATTTGCATGAATGAGCAAAGAACATCTACTCCATAGTGTTTTTTAAAAGGGGAAAAAAGAGACTACATTCATTTCACTGAACAAAGAGTCCACATACAGACAAAAAAGATTCTATGTTGTGATGTTTAAATGTTCTTAAAGACTCCACTTATAGCTTTTAGTTATCTTAATTATTACTAGATTGTATCTGTGCCTTAGGAAACGGAGAAACACTCAAAAATATCCACAAATGTACTTGTACAACGGAATACTGCACATCTACTCACAACTGGGTTAGGTAGGTCGACATGGAGGCTAGCTGCCAAAGATGGGAATGTCCACACTTAGGTACACACACTTCCCTTTGTGGAATAATTACCGATTTCGCTTGTTTGCTTTTTCTATCTGACACACAGTTAAGCGCTTGTCTGTCATGCTACCAGGAAGAGGCTCCTTTCCATCACTGGGGAGATTCGGGACTCCTCACTTGTCCACCAAGTCTTTTTTTTTTCTGGATTTTAAAATACATTCTCTCTTACTGTGCTTCTTGCCATCTGAGTCTCAAACATCAGGGTTTCATAGTCATCAGCAACTCTTTTGTAATTCTACTTTCAATTTGGTCTCTAGTTTTTGCATCGTATTTCATGGTCTTAAATATGTGGGAGAGGAGAAGTTGGGGGAGGAGGGATAGTTCAGGAGGTTTTGCACATTTTGTAGTCCTGTTTGTGTTTCCATGTCTCTTCTATTTTTGGCACCATGAAGTAAGGTGATAACCAGGTAGGATGGAAGGGCACGAGTGTGGAAGGTGTGAGGCTCATTGCGTACAGGAAAGCAGGGGTCAGGATGCAGATCAGGGGGAGGCTACTTGTCATTGACCTGTTCACTGACCCCTCTTTCTCCAACTCTGTCTGTGGTACCGTTGGTGTTGGCAGCTGCCATTTCACCCTCCTCCTTTGTTTTGACTCTCTTCGATTCAGGTTGGTCTTGCACTTCTCCATTCTGCCGCTTGGTAGGGAGGGATGCAGAGGCTGATGCGTGGGTCGCCAGGAGGTGGAGAGGGTTTGCAACAGCTGGAGGAAAGAAGGTAGAATTGATTAAATATTGGTTGTTATATACCCACTTTGGTGGAGGGAAGTAATAGTGGAGTGTAATGGAGCCTAAAGTGTTCCCACAGTTATCAGTTAATAAATGGGCAGACTGAGGGCTGGGTTCAGGGTTTACACTAAATAAATGTTTTTGTAAATGCAGGAAAACAAAAACATTCAGGATTTTTTTTTTTTTGGTTTGTTCCACTGTTAGCAAGCGTGGGAGCAAACACCAACTAACAAAAGTACCTTTTACACTGCCCATTCAAGGCATAAAAGTTGCCAACCCAATGGGGTGGGTTGGGGGGGCACCGAGATTCGAAGAGGCGACTGCTCTACCCACCACACCACTGTCGCCTCCCCAAAGAAACACACAACACTACGATGGCCGGGAATCGAATCCAGATCAACTGCTTGGAACACGTGTCAAACTCAAGGCCCGCCACGTCATTTTATGTGGCCTGCGAGAGTTTAATAGGTGCAAATATATATTAAGTATATTCTGCTTTAAAGCGTGAACTGACCATAAACTACATCTCCCACAATGCATTTATAGATTGTTACCCATAAAGTAACGGCATCTCTCCACTTTAAGTGGAATTGAGAAATCTCTACAAATGATCCCAAAATGTCCAAGAAAAGAGAAATCACCCACTTTCCTGTTTGTCAGAGCATCTCAGCCTCAATTCCCGGTGCTTTTTCGTGTGCTCGGTTGGCTACTATACTGAACTGGTTAATGAATGAGTTTGATCAGAGCTTCTCTGACTTTAAAGCACAGCACTCTGGTTTTGCCATCTTTGCCGATCCTTTCACCTCAGTGTTGTTGTCGTAAAATGCTACGTCTGTCACACTTGTTGGTTGTGCCATAGTTCTGCCCTCCTTGACTGTGACAAAAAAAGTTTTGAATAAAGTTACTATCATAACTTGTTTTTGATATTTTCCTGATTTACTTGAATAGTTTGTTGATTGATGGAGTAATGTGGGTTTCTTAACCTGAACATTTATTTTTACATCTATGCAAATGCATATGTAATATTTGTAACTTGAATAAGTAATAAATACAGAAAGTTATTTGATATGATGAGTAGTTTAATTTATTTTAAATTACATTACATTTAGTTACATTTATACTGTTAATTTGGCCCTTTGAGGACAACCATTATGCTAATGTGGCCCTCGGTGAAAATGAGTTTGACACCCCTGCATTAGAAGGTTGGTCCAGTGATTTATGTGTAGTGATTTTTTTGTTTTCCAGTTTTGAAAGATTATTTTCTTTGCAATATTTTTTTTATTGAAACAAAGTAACACATTAACAAAACAGTACCGAGCATGGGAGACAAGACAACAGATACATGACATTACAAAAATATAGTGTTTTACAAGATTGTAGTGTGTGAAGTGT